TCGCATTCTTGAATATGCCTGGATGTCTACTGGCAATCTCCGAACACCAGGAGGAAATCAAGGATGAATCTGAGAACGAAATTTTCTGAAATGGCTGATTCTGAGCGCAAGTACCAAATAAGCACTGGAAAATTCAAGGCCAGCTTCAGCGACGGTGAGGGACAAGTACCAAACCGTTTGCTAGATAACGCCGATGGATGTTCACAACGAATGAGTTGGCATCAGAAGTGACAAATAATGGCCTGATTCCTGCCACGTTAGCTTCGCTGTCTGATAATAGATATGTATTAGGGTGTCCATAAAGTTCGTTGGCCATTTGTAAACAGCGTCGCGTTACGCAACGCGTTGTGATTTTGCATAATGATTTCGCAATACTGAAAGTACTCGCGATGGGCTATCTTCTGAGCTAGCTAGCTATAAATTTCCTTTCCTGCTCTTCCCACAATAAAGCAGTGAAGATGAGTGATAGTCACCACCACCGCCGGCACAGGCAAGGAAGCGGGTTGAGGTGTGCTCCGACAACCTCAGACTCAGAGGCCTGACGAAGATTCTGGACTCCCTCATTTGCCAAGATGAGAAGTGGGTCTACTTCTCTAATCCTGCCAACAAACCAGTCTGGGTGGATTTCGATGCGCCCCCGCCAAGCCGTGCAAAGAGAAATATGCATGGAAAGAAGCGCCTTCTGTCATTCTGGTTCTCTCGCCACGGCGTCGTCCACTACAGCATCCTACCCAACAATGCCACAGTGACGGCAGAGACCCTCTCTAAAGAATTGCAGGAGGTCAAGGTGAAAGCTGCCGCCTTGTCCCAGAAACTTGCAAATCCGTGGTTGCTCTGGGACAACGCGCGCCCCCACAAAGCGAGAGATACTCAGGCCGTCCTGGACAGGCTGGGCATCAAGACGGTCACGCATCCACCGTATAGCCCGGACATCAGTCCATGCGATTACCACATCTTCCGGTCCATGCAAAATTTCTTGGACGGAAAACAGCTGAAGAACGAGCGCGACCTCGAGGACGTGATCGAGGACTGGGCCGAGTCGCGGCCGGCCAGCTTTTGGGAGGATGGAGTTGCCTCTCTACCCGATCGTTGGCGAAAGGTAGTGGGTATGCATGGAGATTATATCATGGACCGGTAAGTTCAACTTGGTGAGTTATCTTTACCAGCTCTGAAAAAACGAATGGCCAACGAACTTTATGGACACCCTAATAGATACTTTTCTTGAATGACGATGCCCAGGGCCTGTACCCATGTAACAGGGATGATTTTAGCGACGATCAAAGAAGCCACCGTGATCACTTACTGATCGACTGTTAAGCAGCTTATGGGAGTGGGACCCATTACTGCTATGATTACAGCATTGTGCAATGTCTATGAGCAGTTTGCCGGGTGATAACGAGCAAACAGCAAAAACCGACAGTACTGTTCTGCTGTGAGAAGGCTTAGTTCACCTTACTGACCGTGACATTCAGTCGCTCTGCCTGTTGCCTGTAATGTTACAGCGGTCCGCAGGACTTCCTAGACAGGATTGGCAGAACACTAGATGAAGGACAGCCATGCGAGCAAGCAGGGTTTCGAAGAGGATTCAGCACGATCGATCACATCCACACGGTAACGAAGCTCAGTGAAGTGTCGCGAGGGCACTTCGGAATGTCTCATCTTCATCAATTTGAAGGTCTTCGGTTATCGAAGCCTCATCTCACGCGCAATGTTAAGGGTCCTGTATGCACTCCCACATCCAGAACTTATAATTCTATGTGATCCACAAGCTCTTCTAACGACTCATTCAAAAACAGGATTGGCGGAATAAAGTACCGTCCCTAATTTTTAACCACTGACGGAATTTTACTCGCGCAAACAGTCGTTCTGTCATAACGTCTAGAAGTAATACAAATAGTTCCATAGTAAATTATTCGGCACTTTTCAACTACTACTACCCCAATTTTCCGAAAACAGGCAGGATCTTGATCAATTGTTTTCCACGGGGGCAGATTTGGTTAAAAGTTGGGCTTTGGGGTAATTCGACCTCCTAAACGTAAATATCTCATCCATAACCTGAAAATGCCTGGCGATCGCGCCACATGCGCCGGTGCCAAAAACTTTAAAAGCGAATTCGCAGAAAACTTGTCCCAGGGGTAGTTTGACCTCCTGAACACGAGTATCACGTCCGCTAAGATCCGCTGAAAACTTGCTACTTAGATTATTTGACATCTTGATTACAAATATCACATTCATTTTTGGCGCTGGCGCTGATGGAAGACGCTGCGATCATCTGCGCTCTGCTAAGGCTGAGCCTGACCTGAAGGAAATCACTCTTTCTCCCAGGCTCAGCCTTAGAAAAGCGCTAAATGGCGCTGGCGTCGGAAATAAATGTCATATCCGTGATAAGGGAACCAAATAACCCCACTACACAGGTTATTATAGATTTTGATAAAAAAGGGTGTGCCGCCAAATCAGCGCCAAATGGCGCTAGGGCTGGTAACTTATTCGGTATTCGTGATCATGGCACCAAGCAACCCTACCATGCAAAATTACACAGAATTTGGTGAAAAATGTGGACAGCGCAAAGTCGTGGATTGGTCATTTTCTGCGCCAGCGCCAAAACGTGTGCTATATTCGTGATCAGGACACAGAAATACCTCGTGAGCAAAGTTTCAACAAGAAGTTTTTTTGACTTTATAGGGTGATAATAGATGAATAGGTGCCCTTTCGGTTCCCTGTCACGAGTTCTTCAAATTAAATGGATAACATGGGAAAAATACAAAAAAAAAAAAAAAAATAGACCACGTTCAGCAGCCTCATGAAGGAATTCCACTCCATCCTCGATGATAACAGTGTTAACTGATGTTTGGTGTAGCCCAAACCATTCTTTTGCTATAGTAACCATCAGCGGATCCATTTCAACTGTTGTGAGATTCACCTGAAATGTTAACGAGAGTACTGTTCATATTACTGTGTTAGTCAATGTATTGTTCTAAAGATGAAAGAGCGCAAATAGAGCCTATGCGACGGGATTTACAGTCCTCATCATTGCGGACCGGTGGGGCGTGCCATGCGGCTGCGTTTGGCGCGCTGCCAGAGTCGTTCTGCACCAGATGCTGAAGCGGGCAAGTGACATTATTTTATTATATCCTCCGTATTACTCGTTTTCTACCACTTTTTTTACCGCATACGCGTTTCAGCAAAAAGGCTGAGAACGGCTTCAACAATGTGCACACTCATACTACTGACACGCCCCCACCTGATTTGCTAATGATGAGAACTGTATAAAAGTGATCGTCCACCGTGTGAGATATACTTTTGAGAAATACTTGTGAGGAACAAACCCTCAGATACTTGACAGCATCAAAAAAAAATTGCAAATAGCTCCACCTCCTAAGCCGATCATCAGCACGTTTTGATAATCTTGTGGATCAAATTGTAGTCCCTGCAAAAAAAAAATAATAATACCATTAGCGAACAATATGCTGTAAGTATATAGACATCGGCAAGATTCGGTTGGGTTACCTCCATCACAAAACCCGCTGCAATCATCAATTTTAAATTCGTGAATACCATCGCAAATTTGTTAATGGGCCATTGCCGTGTGTTGAAATTGCTCCACGTGAGTTCTGTAACAGTCAGTAGTGGTAGCGATTCAAAGAAAAATAAAACACGCTCAAATCAATCTAAATAAATATAAAAATGGAAATGTTGCATTGGAGCTAGTCTTGTCGCTGTGGATGCCAGGACGTGTCAGGAGGAGGGGTAGGAGAAGTGAGAGGTTTGGCGCCGCACCAATCCTTGCTAAAACAGTTGTCGAGGCTAACAAGCAACCGCTATTGGTGGAAAACGGGATGGCATCCCGCCGAACGCACGCCGTCCATTAGGCTCAGCATCGGCAGTGAACAACTTACTTATTCATAGAGGAACTTGGCCTATGAGTTCCAGAGACATTTTCACGCATGAGCCCTCCCTTACAAGAATCTTGAAGGACTGGTCACATGATCGCCCTAGGTTTTATTAGCACCTCTGCAGCGTCATTTAGGTCTTCGATGATGACTGTGATTAGAATGCACCCTACTTGTCAATTTTGATGGTTCGATTGCAGTTTTAATGGGAAACATACTCTCTGGTGTTTCCAGTTTAACTGCGGTGATAGTGATGTTTTTAAGAATTTCCTTGTGCTTCAGATGGCGTTCGACAGTCAATCTGAAATGCTCTTCATGTTTTACATGAATTTAATGACACATCGCTGACTAATTTCCCTTGGGCGCCAACGTGATGGTCCGAGAAAATCTTATCTTCTGCTGAGTTACTTTGAGCGCACCTACGCGAAACGCACCAAGCATCGCCTAGGCACCAGGGTACAGCCTCGTAATGTGTGAAATGGCTGTAAGTACAACACCCCCCCCTCCTACGGAGAAACATCCTGGTACGACCGCCCCTCTTCCGGCGCCTAATTGTTCTTTCTGACGAGAAGGATCAGATACGTAACGACTCGCAAGCGCTTGCGGCCGCGTTATGATTCCATGGCAATTAGCGGTGGAGCAGTTCTGTTGGCCGGAGCCGGATGGACCGCGTCCCGTTGAACTGACAATGAGTCCACGCATGAGTTGGTTATCATCGATCGATTTGGTGCGAGTGCACGCCGTGCATTACCCAGAGGTATTTTGAAGGTGTAACACTTTATTTTAGGCGACTTTTTCCATGCAAGCAGATGTTTGTAAAGGGTCTAGGGAAGGTCGATACGCAGAACATTTTAAGATGCATCAATCGGTCATCTACATACTTACTAGTCATGCTAACTATTGATACTGCTAATCGCATTCGAGTGGAATCTTGTTCGCAAGATCAAAAGCACTGATTTGCGCATTAAATATTTCCAAAATAAGTGCATAAGCCGCTCCGTAGTCTTCGTATAGAATGGACTTTTCAAGAAAGGCCCCGTACACTTTTCTCTCTATCA